CATTGTTGTTTGGCGGGCCCAGGCTGGATTTGAACCTGCCACCTTAGGTGTATGTGGCTGGCGCCCTAGCCACTTGAGCCATAGGCGCCGAGCCTATTAGGGAGACTTGTATACGAACCTATAAATCTAAAATTAATGAACAAAACTTACTTTACTTAAAAATTAATAGGCTGGGCGTGGTGACTCACGCCTATAATTCTAGCACTCTGGGAGGCCAAGACTGGTGGATTGCTTGAGTTCACAGGTTTGAGACCAGCCTGACCAAGAGCGAGACCCCATCACTAGTAAAAAAAAAAACAAAAAAACAAAAAAACAAGTTGTACATAGTGGTAGACTCCTGTAATTCCAGTTACTTGGGAGGCTGAGGCAAGAGGACTGCTTGAGCCCAAGAGTTTGAGGTTGTGTGAGTTATGATGCCAGGGTACTCAAGCCAGGGGGATAGAGTAAAACTCTACCCCTGGGTAGAGTGCCATGGCATCACAGCTCGCAGCAACCTCTAACTCCTGGGCTCTAGCGATTCTCCTGCCTCCACCTCCCAAGTAGCTGGGACTACAGGTGCCTGCCATAATGCCTGGCTATTTTTCGGTTGCAGCCATCATTGTTGTTTGGCAGGCCTGGGCTGAATTTGAACCCAGCAGTTCAGGTGTATGTGGCTGGCGCCTTAGCTGCTTCAGCCACAGGCGCTGAGCCCCACCCCAACCCCCAAATTAATAGGACCATCTGGAAGCAATCTAAATGAAAATGCTTATTATCGACTTACAAATGTTTCTTCTTTATGGCCTTTTCTACTTTGGGTTTAACATTGTTGTTGTAATTATCAAATAACTATAAATTATTCAGCACAGCCAATGGCTTCCCCTAGGCTTTCCCTCTCAGCAGGTGGATGAGGGCAGGCATCAGTGGCTCCATTTTGCAGGTGAGGAGACTGAGGTTGGGTAACGCCCTAAATCACTCAGCTGGTGAGTGGTGGAGTTAGGATTTGAACCAGGGTTGGCTTGACCACAAAGTGTGCATTCTTAAACTGCTACTGCAATCAGCCTCCCCTTGACGCATTGCCTGAAAGTCTGAGTTCATAATTGACAGACTTCAGTGGTCTGTGCCTAACTAGGCCTTAGAAGAAGGAATACCAGTGAGAATATGAGACAGAGTGACATGGATTGAAATTGTGCCTTTTATAAATTTTTTTTCCAGCTAACAACCTAATATGGTTAACATTTATATTTTGTTAGCTTTTTTTTTTTAGAGAGAGTATTACTTTGTCACCCTTGGTAGAGTTCCATGGTGTCACAGCTCACAGCAACCTCCAGCTCTTGGGCTTAGGTGATTCTCTTGCCTCAGCCTCCCGCCACAACACCTGGCTATTTTTTTTTTTTAATTGCAGTTTGGCTGGGGCGTGTTCAAACCTGCCACCCTCGGTATACGGGGCCAGTGCCCTACTCACTGAGCCATGGGTGCTGCCCATTTTTGTTAGCTTTGTAAGTGCTAAAATAACACATTAAAAATGATTACAGTGGCTTGGCACCTGTGGCTCAAGGGGCTAAGGCACCAGCCACATACACCTAAGGTGAAGGGGTTTGAATCCAGCCCAGGCCCACCAAACAACAATGATGGCTACAACCAAAAAATAGCCAGGCGTTGTGGCGGGCGCCTGTGGTCTCAGCTACTTGGGAGGCTGAGGCAGGAGACTCGCTTGAGCCCAGGAGTTGGAGGTTGCTGTGAGCTGTGATAACACAGCACTCTACCCAGGGGGACAGCTTGAGGCTCTATCTCAAAAAA